CCTATGGATGCGCTAATAGCGCATTATTCAAGTTGGCACCGTCTCAAGAAAGCAGTGGCCTGGATCATCAAGGTAAAGCAAGCCCTCAGGCAGAAGAACAAGGCCACTGAAGTCGGATTGACAATGCACGATCTCAAACAAGCTGAAGGAGCTATTTTCAAACACGTGCAGCACAGATACTACCATCAGGAGATAGTATCGTTAGAGAGGTCGAAGGATGCAGGAGTAGCATCTACCAGCAGCGTCTACAAGCTAAACCCAATATTAGGAGAAGACGGTTTGCTGAGAGTGGGCGGGAGACTTGACATGTCGTCTCTGTCAGAAGAAGAGAAGCATCCCATAATACTCCCTAAGGAGTCAGCAGTAACGCCGCTGATCATACGGAGTATACACGAGGAAGTAGGCCACATGGGGAGAAACTACGTGACGGCCAAAGTGCGAGAGCGCTATTGGATACCACAGAGTAGCACGCTGATCAGAAAGATAATCAGCAGGTGCGTTACCTGTCGACGTCATCACGGCAAAACGGGAGAACAGAAGATGGCCGATCTACCATCACACAGAGTCACACCGGATGAACCACCGTTCACCAATGTAGGCGTTGACTACTTCGGCCCTTTTGAAGTAAAAAGAGGTCGCAGTATCGTGAAGCGATATGGAGTCATCTTCACCTGCACCACAACCCGAGCAGTTCACTTGGAGAAAGCAGACTCCCTAGACACGGATAGCTGCATCAATGCCTTGCGGAGATTCATCGCAAGACGAGGACAAGTCAAACAAATATGGTCAGATAACGGAACCAACCTCGTGGGGGCAAAGGCCGAGCTAAAGAAGGAGATAGCAGGGTGGAACCAAGACAAGATTAAGGACGCCTTACTGCAGAAGGAAGTGGACTGGAAGTTCAGCCCACCTAAAGGATCGCATTTCGGCGGCGTTTGGGAGCGACAGATACGCACAATAAGACAGGTGCTGAATGCGATCATGAAGAAGAATCCACTAGATGACGAAGGATTACACACTTTGCTGTGCGAAGCTGAAAGCATAGTAAACGGAAGACCAATAACGGCAGTTAACAATGAAGTTGATGACCTGGAAGCGTTGACGCCCAACCGTCTCCTGACTATGAAAATGAAGACTTCGCTGCCGCCAAACCTAACCAGCAAGAACGACCTGTATGCCAGACGCAGATGGAAACAGGTGCAGTATCTTGCCGACTTATTCTGGAAACGATGGTCGCAGGAGTATCTCACGTCACTACAGGAGCGGCAGAAATGGGGCAAACAAAGGCAAAACCTTGCCGTGGGAGATATAGTTCTCCTGAAAGATGAAACCTCACCGCGAAGTTGCTGGCCGTTAGGCAGGGTGCTGGAAGTGACTCACCACAGCGACGGACTAGTGCGTAGAGTAAAAGTAAAGACGCAAAACAACGTCCTCGAGAGACCAATCGACAAACTATGTGTACTGCTGTAAGCTGGAAGTTAAAGTAGGAAACTATTGCATGCTATTTCTACTAACGATGAGTTATTAAGTTACTAATGTTATAAGGAAGTTGGCTCGTAATGTGTAAGGTAAAATTGCCCAACGGACAATTTGGGGGCCAGTGTAAGTGCCAACTTCCAAATTTGAATTTCCCGCCAGTAGATTAAGTTAGTATAGCTTCCCGCCAAATCCCTGCCCCCCCTGAGCACCAGGGTGGGGAGCCCGTCTGTCTGGGACTTAGGTAGACAAGGCGACAGGCAGTGCATAAGGCACAAGCAGAGAGACAGAAGTCTGGTGTGGTTCGTGAGTTAGGACCAAAAAGGCCTGGGCACAGAAGTCCCAGGAAAGACCAGAAGAGGATTACAAAGGCCCGGATACCAAGGATCCAGGAAATCCAAAAGGGGTATTCCAGAGGCCTGGATACAAGGATCCAGGAAATCCAGAAAAGGATTATCAAAGGCCTGGATAGAGAGGGTCCAGGAGATACCAGAGGATATTCTGTGGAAGGACGATGAGACCATACCAGTTTTACGTCAAGAACTCGTCAAGAACTCGCCAGGAACTCGCCAAGAACTAGCCAAGAATTCACCAGGAACTTGCTAAGAACTTGTGCTTTGTTCCTCGAATTGGGATCAAGAAGTCAAACTGCCCTAGGAATACAATTACCAACAAGAACTCTACCAGCAAATTCAGAAACATCGAACTTATACGGCGGAAGTAGAACAGGGCGGATTTCAGTTTGTATTACTAACTCTACTGAAGATTAAACATTTATGACGTATTCCAATCAGTTTGTACGACTTCTTCCCTGAAGACCAACAGAGGTGAGTTCGGTAACACTTCCTCACACGTCCATCCCATGCAGAATAGCAGCAGCCACAGTAATAAAGTGGTGCTGCGCCTACAACACCCGTTTTGTACAGTAAGAGCAAGCTGCGTAAGACCGGACTGTAAGGTTTGAATCCAGACCCGTCTCTTCAGAGCCCACAACCTCAGATTCTCAGTCGACAACCCTAACCATAAGCCCACCTTTAGGCGTAACACATAAGTTTTGTACAGTAAGCACATAACCGGGCTAGTACTGTACTGTTTGAGCCCAGAACCTTCAGGTTCTGAGTCGACAACCCTCACCACAACACCACCTTGCCGCCCTTCCCAGGTACAACCTGTAGACTCGACCAGCCTGTCTGCGCTGAAGTCCCGCTGTTCGGACTGCGACTCGCTCATCTCCACCAGCCCGATCGTCTCTCTGGCGCTCAGCCCCGGCCTCAGGCTGCACAAGCCCGTAGACATCACCGTGCCGTGCCCGCTCAACCCCGCGGGCAACTGGGCACGCGACCCCACCAGGCCGGGCACGGCTGGACTCGGCGGGTAGGTACGGGGTTGGGGTACGGAGTAGCTGGGGTACCGCGCTAGGGTACAGGGTTGGGATACAGGGTAGCTGTTTGTTGTTGTTCGTTAGGTTTGATAGGATGTATGGATGTTGTACGACGTGACCTGAGTGACATCTCGCTCTCACAGACACAGCAGCTGGCTGAAACTGAAAACAGGGAGTGAGGAAAGTCAAATGCCCTTCCCAGGGACGCAGTGTCTAGCCAAGAATGACAGGGATCGAACCCGAGCCCCAATCCAGTAACGTCCTCTTTATTTCCCAATCCTCCGCACCAGGTCCCGTAAGCTTGGCGGCTCGTCCCTCCGGCGTGTGCTAATGGGCCTGGCCATGCAGACATCCCTCCCGGTACCGAAGAGAAGCCTGGCTGCCTACGATAACCTGGCTAGAAATAACGCTGTTCTTTCTCCCCACCTCCCCATTATTCAGGTCCCGTAAGCTGGGCGGCACATCCCCGCGGCCTGGTAGCGCGCCGGCCGGCCGGACCAGCCTGATGGAAGAGGGCGACAACGGGGACGACTTCCTGCACCTGCTGGGGTTACCAAATCCAGTCTAGCTTAAAAGTAACGCTGTTTTTTCTTCACGCCTCCGCACCAGGTCCCGTAAGCTTGGCGGCACGTCCCCGCGGCCCGATAGTGCGCCAGCCGGCAGGACCAGCCTTATGGAGGAGGGAGACAACGGCGACGACTTCCTGCACCTGCTGGGGTTAGCAAATTCAGTCTAGCTGATAAGTAACGCTGTTTTCTCTCCCTACCTCCGCACCAGGTCCCGTAAGCTAGGCGGTACGTCTCCGCGGCCCGGCAGTGCCCCAGCCGGTAGGACCAGCCTGATGGAGGAGGGAGACAACGGGGACGACTTTCTGCACCTGCTGGGCCAGCCCGAGGGCGAGGAGGCCTGGGCCGAGGTCATGGGCGTCAGGTTCCGGCAGAACAAGAAGGGCCTCGTCACGTTCGAGACAGACGAGCTGCTGGGAAAGTACGTACGAGCTATTTGTCTATTGACCGCGTTAAGATTCTTGTACCTGCACAAGTGGTCTCCGTTACATAAGTACCACCTGGCCTCTTTTTGGTGGTCCCATTTTAGTCCTAATTCGAATTCAATGGACACAGGCATTAATAATCTTGTCTATATAGTGAACACCTGTCCGTTTTCATCGTCCCTTGCACCCTGTAAGGGGATAGCTACCAGTAGCAAAGAGAGATACAATGAATCGCTTAGGTACTAGTTTTTGGCATGATATAACTAGCTGCTACCGCTTGACGAATTCAATTCAATTTGCTAAACACCACCCACCCTCCTCTACACCTCCCAGGTTCATCGTCTTGCGGACCGCTGACCCCGCCGCCGAGCAGTACCAGGGCGTGACGGAGGCGTTCCCGCGGCTGCTGGAGACGTCGCTGGGGCTGACGGACGCGCGGCTCATCCTGCGCACGAAGACGGGCGACCCCGAGCGGGCCGTGGTGCGCTGCGTACCGGCACGGGACGTGCGGGAGGCAGAACTGCAGCTGGACCAGGCAGGGTACGAGGAGGCCGAGCCCAGCAAGGAGGTAAACAGTTTGCTCACAGTCATATATAGTCATACAGCATATGCTATGGCCGAGCCCAGCCATTGCTAGCAAGGAGGTAAAGTCTGTTCAGTCATATATATAGTCCTACAGGTTCTGCTATGTCAGTCAGTTAGTTATTCAGTCAATCAGTCAGTCAGCCAGCCAGTCAGTCATACATATGACCTTCTTCGGTAAAAGCTTACTTGATATCAACCCATGGCTATGGTAGCAAGCAAGTCTACTCACAGTTATGCGACCTGTCTACATGTATTATATACAGCACCATGCATATCTAGTTCTATGCCTGGATGAGTTAGGGTTAGGATCAGACACGGTTCTAGTTAGTTCTTGCATATCCAATCATGTAGATTTGCCCCAGGGCTGGGTCTTAGATACAACACAGCCACCACTACTGCCTTCTTCAGAACTTGTCCATCCGGACAGTGAGTTCAGCACCAAGGACAGAGCCAGCCTCCTTCCTAATCCCAATGGAAGTCTGGGCATATATACTGAATCACACTGAATCAGACCTCTCACTGTAGACACAGTGGTCTTGCTACAATTCCGTGAACTTCACACCGTCATCGCATGGTTATTGTCATTTATTGTTTAAACGCCCACTGTTTTTCAATATCTTATCGACTTATCGTCGCGTGTTACCCCCGGCAGGTTCTGCTGAAGGACGGAGACGAGCTGGTGCTGAAGTTCTCGGGGAACGTGAGCAGAGACACGGACGGGGACAGCAGGGACTCCGTCAGACTCACGTTCTACAGCCAGAGGCGGACTCAGGCGCACTTCTACATCAAGGAGGTGATCTAACCTTACAGTTGATCAGACAGTACTTCTCTATTATTAACCTTTACTTTTACATTAAAATGTCTTTGACACTGCTGTACATCCACTTGGAATGTGAAAGACATTGACGTCGCGCCCGCTGATTTAGGAAACAAAAGATATATAACTAATAGGACTGCATCTGTAGTATCAATGTATATTATCATAATTACACCCCTACTATGATCTAACACCCATATGTTCCTGGAACACTGAGTTTCCGAAACATAGGGGTGTTTATTTGTTCATTTGAATTTACCACAAGTGTGGAAGGGAGGACAAAACAGGTGCACCTCTACAAGTTGTCCTCCCAAAAGGTGTCGAAACCTGTAGTCATTGCAACATCAACAACATCTTGGGGAATAGACTAAAGCTGCCTGGACTCCAGGCTAGAAAAGTTTGTATTTTAACGGCGATTTTCTCTGCTAACCCGCAGGTAAACGAGTTCGGTAACTACAGCTCCCCGTGCTACCGGGGCATGGTGCGGTTCTACGGCACCCGGCGCCGCGTTGGGAAGCCCGGCCCGGAGGACGCCGACCGGGGCCCGCCCGATGTCATCAAGAACGCCTTCCTGGGGGACGCGGTGGAGGAGGGGCTGGACAGCATCTGTAAGCTGCCTGTTACCCTGCCCAAGGTACGCTTTGTCCCAGCTTCAAGCACCACTATAATGAAAACCCTGCATGCACTTATCGTAAAGAGTACTTCTGTATGTCTGTGTATGTCTTGTGTTAAGATCCAATAAACCAGTCTACTACTACTACTAGTACTTGGGACCAGGCCAGATCCTCGGCGCCAGGGCCAATGTGACAGAAAGAAAGTTTTACCACAGATGCTCATCACTTCTTGAGTTACGCTGTATGCTGTTCCAAAGTTTAAGATACATGTAAAACTCAAGACTGCGATTCAAAGGAAAGTCGCTATAAAGTACAAATGACTACCCAGTCCAAAACCTACCACTCGCGGAATCAGAACCTGAAAAAAAATTTATAAAAACTGGATTTTCCTAGTGCAATACCACAGAAGGGCGTTAGGAGGCCCATAACATACTTAGTACCATAATATGATTAAGGATCTGATCTGTTGATTTTCCTCTTCTTGCAGAGAGAGCGGGACCCTCCAAGGCCCCCTAGCGCCTACCGAAAACTCATCGAGTCACAAGGTGGGCATCTTTAGCTTTTTTTTAAATCATACATTGAAAATAATGATTTAATATATCCAACGATATTCTGTTAATGTGTAATATAGGATTTAAACATGTAAAAAGGTCACATGTACTTCTATAAGTAAACTATAATCATTTATGAACAGCTAGATGTGCAAAGGTTAAGTGTAACAGGTTGTTCAGTGTAATGTACCCAGCTGCCGCTGCGCCGCGTGCCTGCGAAGCTGGGCAGTTATTCGTGCTATATTCAGACTTCAGAAACAGATAAAGGTAAAGAGTATCACAGAAAACTGTACAATACAAACTGTACAGTAACATTCCGCGTTCCTTGTCTCCCAGGTCCGTTAGTGAACGACTGGCTGCAGTGGTTAGCCTCGGAGATAGACGAGGACTGGGACCTGCTGGGCCACCACCTGCGCGTCAAGCGGTCCCGTCTGCAGCACATCAAGAGGAACAACCCGGAGGTGACTGCACATGGATCTTATCTAGCCTTTATCTAACTTTTGTCTAGCCGCTAGTTGGGCCGGCAGCCCTGTCTGTTACTGCTGAATCAATAAATAAATAAATAAATAAATCGAAATACATAGAAATATCCCCCCTCCCCATAGACTTCTTTAGCTGGCAGTTTTGTTTCTACGGGCGGTGGTTTCTTTTCAGAAGCAGCTAGGGGCTTCATCGGGGGGTGAGCTAAATCCATGGAGTTGACTACGCCCTTCTGGCATGCTCTAGCCAATTCAAAGTTTACACCACTACAAAGTTTGCACAGGAGACTATCTTTCATCCTCAACCCCTGACTTGAATGTGTTAACCTTTAGAAACTTTCTATGTATCAACTTAACAACTTATGTAACAACTTAAATGGCAAATTTTGCGAATGTACAGATGTATGATATCTATAAAATGTCCACTTCTTGTGACCTGTACCTAACCCAGTGTGTGTGTGTATCACTCACACTCACTATCCTGGTTTAGATTATACTGCTGCCGTGTGTATGTACAATAAAGTTGATTAATTAATTAATTCATTCATTATTCTATTCATTTATTCATCCCTTCCAGGACCTTCAGCAGCAGGCGTTCGACATGCTGTACTCGTGGCGGAAGAGCCTTCCTGCCGCCGCCGACAAGATCGGCAAGCTGTGCCGCGCGCTGTCGCGGGTCGGCCGCAGGGACCTGGCCGAGGAGCTCAGGGAGAGATACTCAGACCATCGCAAGAAGAACGGCAAGGCGTAGGGCCTTGGGGGGAAAGAGCTTTATCCAGAATCATGCTCAAGCACGGTTCTGGATGGTATTTGGCATAATTTGCGTATCCAGAACCATGCCTGGAACAATCTCTGGAACGGTTCTGGATAGTCCTACCATCGGAAGATGAATGGCAAGGCCTAGGGCCTGTCGTGTTAAAAATGCTTTATCAAGAACCAGGCTTTATCCAGAACCATGCTCCGGCACGGTTCTGGATAGTCCTTGTCAGTATCCAGAACCGTGCCTTGACAGAACCATGTCCATTCTCAGATGCGGTTCTGGATAGTACATGCGTATTCTCGGCACGGTTCTGGATAGTACATGCGTATCCAGAACCGTGCCCTACCAGAACGATGCTTATGAACGGTTCTGGATAGTACAGATGTATCCAGATCCGAACCGTGCCTGGCAAAATATGTTAAATATGAGAAATGTACAGAAGGATGTTGAAATGTAAGAAAATGTATAACTGTTCACAAACACAAATGTACAAAATAAATAGAGCATCAGCTACTAACTTGTTACATTATATTGTTGCTCTTGCCTTACTGGTGAATATAACACTGTTCAATAGCATTAACGGAAATAAAACATTATCTTAGCATAATGCATACAATGCATACATTGACATAAGATGAGCATGAGATAAGAATTACGAGAAATGAAGAAACTTGTAATGAATACTTGTTCTGTTGATAATGTACGTCTAAATGGTTTATTTTCGATTTTGTCGGCTCCTTGGTTGTATTTTATGGCAGATTTTTGTGCAGGCACAAGTTTTTGCTTTTTGTAACACACAGACGAAGTTTGCAATGAATTTGCAACACAAACTTGATTGAGTCCACAAATCTTGCTGTGCATGCAATGTCAATGTATTGCTCGCAATAAACCAGTCATTCATAAATTCGTCTTTCCTTCGATCATTCATTCAATATTTGTACTTTGAAGTCAGTATACTATAGCCAGTTTATAAAATAGATGAGTTCTATAGAAAAGAACATGCATGCATCCGCCTCCCGGGCAGTGGTATCCACACTAAACTAGACAGGTATCATTTCGAAAACAAGTGCACAGTGATATACCTTGATACCGGATACGGCTGAGGAGGGCTTCGCCTGTAGTGAGCCGGTCTAGTCGCCTCCGACGTGCTTGAATCAGAGTCAAGTGCTCCCAGCGTTTGTCCAAGTTGTAATGAAACACATGGTACAGAATGTAACCCGACACCACATGGTGTGTGCTGCAGTTAGCATGGCGTGGTACCACTATTTAAAGTGACGTCTGGTCAACTACAAACATCTTATTGGTTTCAATAAGAATAATATGAAGACGAAACGGAGCAAAAACAATACACTTACCTTCCGTCAAACTTCATGCTGGAACCTGCATACACGTTGGGGGAGGGGGTGGTGCAGTTGCTGCCAAAGGTAGTCGGCCTGAAGGAAAGAACAGATCAATCTAATACTGATATGAACTTGCATACACACTCCTTCTACTTCAGTTTTGTTTTCTGAGAGGTTTACTATGTTGCATACTCGCCATACTCTGCACAAAGATGTTCTATCATATCTCTGCAGGCTGTTGAAGTCACGTTTGTTGCATTTGGCCGTCTGAAAATCAAATTTCGCGCCAGAGTTTGACCTTTGCCCCGGATATGCTATTTTCAACCTGTACTTTAGACGTAAAATATTTGCACGAACTTTGTTTACCTCTACATAAAGCTTGAACTAATTTAGATTAGTCATGTAAATCACGTTTTATATGATATAAGATTCGCCAGTCACACCTTGGTCATTTCAAGTTTCCCGCCAGAACGTGACCTCTGCACCGGAAGTGCTTGCTCTCGTCAGGAAGCGGACCACAACAGACAGAAATATCGTCTGACGGAGGCGACAAGTCGGCATCGATCCCGCTTTTCCCGCTAAAACGTGAGTAAAGAGCCCGTCTCTTATCGCTAAATCGGCTCCCTAAGCCGTCTGTATGGCCTGGGACACACTGTGAAGCTGGCAGATAGTTTGGGCGAGTTAAAAGCGGCGTAGAGTAGAGATATTTTCGTGGCGAGTATTTGGAGCTAGTGGTGCTTGCCAGATAAAATGTTGTGTTACAAGCTGGGTGTTGTTTTTACTCAAGTTACAACAAATTGGTATTTTTGCTGTCACTCACTGCTTGTACTGCAATTAAGCACAGATTGTGCAGCATGTAGGTAGGGAAAATAGTAAAGAAGTCTGGAAAAACGTGTAAAACAGTGCGTTGTCAATGGTTACAATATGTGACCGTTTTAACACAGTAATAGGGGCGGGTCTACCGTATCAACTGCTAGCTATATGCATTCGCTTTTACCTAATTAAGTACAACTGTGCAGGGCTTGACATCCAGTTGGAAATTTTGGAAATGGTTCACAGAAAAAAATTTGGACGCACAACACGAAATAAATATTTAGAATATCAGAAAAATGTAATCACAAACCTTTAATACTGCCTCTCAGCTTGAGTCTGAAATTCAAAAGCTAGATTCAAAATTTTTAACTAGTAGTAGTAGTAGTCATGTACAATGTATTATACAGCAAAGGATTTCTTGTCATTTTTGTGAACTAAGCACACCCTAGAACATAAAATTGTTTGAACCATTACTTGAAAGAAACACTAGAAAAGTCATTGTTGTCAGTGTGCTGCAAAGTAGAAGTACATGTATACTATGATGAATACAAAATTATAATATCATGAAACACATCCGTTGTCCAAAGTGGCCTGATTTCCAGGACAGGAAGTCAGATATTTTTACAACTGTCACAATGTAAACATATTTTACTTCTGAGTTAAGGGTAGGGTGTCATGTGTTCAGTCTGACACTGAAGCGGAGAGGGCCTGCATGCCCTTTTTCGTGAGGCATGATCAGGCCTTTTTAACCTCCGTAATCCATAGGCAGCCGCCCCAAAACATTGTACTTTGTAAATTAGTACATTAGCCGCAACATGTAATTGTCCATTATCAGCTCTCAGAATTTGAAAAAAATTCAAAATGGTCAGCAAAAATTTTGCGTAATTCATAATTACTACCCCCATGCAGGCCCTCATTGAAATGTTGTTTAGTTTGGTCTGCTTGAGTCCAATACTGTAATTCCTGATTTTTTCACGGTACTTTTATGTTCACTGTTTTCACTGTCACTTCTATACCTTGAACTTGTCATTACAGTCAACAAGTAATTCCTGCACTTTCTTTTCCTGCAACTGTCGCCACCGTGAATATAAAATTCCGTGAACATGTCAATTTTTCTCAGACCATAAACTTTTGAACATAAAGTGAATTACAACTTATATGATAGACTGAAATCAGTAATTTCATTGTTTTTTGTCAAACTAGGAACAGAGAATTTTACTCAGGGATAAAAGAACCAATCAGACGAGCCTGCAGGGGTCAGAGGTCGACAAATCCAAGATGGTGGAGGTGGAGACGTCGACCTTCGAGGCGCGGAACCTGTTCAAGGACTCCTTCAAGATCCTGCGGCAGCTGTATGAGGACGAGGAGCTGTGTGACACCATGCTCAAGGTTAGTGTGTGTGTGGTCTTGTTTGTTTGTTTGTTCCTGCGACAGCTGTACGAGGATGAGGAGCTGTGTGACACCATGCTCAAGGTTAGTAATTAAATGTTAGCCTCTACCAGGCTTCGGTAGGCGGCTGGAAAGAGCAGAAATTGGTCAAATAGAGAGATAACATACGAGGGGAGTTGGTCCGCCAGAGAGAACATTTTTCCTCTTTTCAGCCATCTCTTGAAACCTGGTAGAGGCTAAATAAATGTGTGTGGTCTTTGTAACAGAGAATTTTTCAAACTAGTACGGAATTTGGGGTAGGTTGGAATTAGGGCACCCCCCATTATATAAAATGCACCAATTTGCAGGAGGAGGAATGAGGCCATAAAGGCTTATCCTATGCCTCTCTGTACATAGCATCTATCTTCTCTGTCACAACAAGTGGAAGAACCATTTGCTGGTTAGAGATCACTTTCACTTTACCTTTTACTAATAGGTTGGAGAGAAGGGGATCCACTGCCACAGAGTTGTCCTGGCGGCCTGCTCACCCTACTTCTTCTCCATGTTCACATCAGGCATGGGGGAATGTTATCAGGACACGGTAAGGCTGGCTATCTGTACTTGTATCTATATAATATATGCATCTGTACTTAGTCTTGTACCTGCAGCTGTATCTGTGCTTGTAATTGTTCCCAGGACATGGTAGGACTGACTATCTAGCTGTACCTGTAAAGTTGTTAAGATACAGATCAGTGCCTTGGCCTGAACTTCATGATCAAGTGTGCCTGTATCTAAATGTGTAAATTTGTTTAGATACAGGTCTGGGTCTGAATGTCAAGTATACATGTATCCGTATTTTTCTAGTTGGAATCTGAAGAGTTTAAGTGCAACAGGTCCCATATCTTTATCTGAATCAATTTGAAACATTAATGGACACTGTAGTTTCATCTCAAAGATAACAGTGTAGTAAACTGTGCACGTAAAAACTTGGAAGTCTTCTGAAGATTTGCTTTCAGATAGTGACAACAAAGACAGCTGGGTACTGGATATATTATAGGTAATTGGTATAGAAAACTACCCGGTCCCTAACCCTCCGTACCTGAACATCTTTCAGGTGACCATCAAGGACATAGACAGCTACGCGCTGGAGCAGATCGTGCGGTTTGCGTACACCTCGAAGGTTGTCATGACGACAGAAAACGTGCAGTCTCTGCTGTACGCAGCCTGTCTGCTGCAGGTGGAGGTTCTGGCCAAGGCCTGCTGCGACTTCATGAAGGTAATTATTGATCCTGATCAGTTATAGGTTATTGATTGTTGTCATGACGACAGAAAACGTGCAGTCTCTGCTGTACGCAGCCTGCCTGCTGCAGGTGGAGGTTCTGGCCAAGGCCTGCTGCGACTTCATGAAGGTGGGAATTATTGATCCAGATCAATCAAAATGCATCTGAATGAATCATTGCTGTAATCGTCATCCATTAATTGCAAATAATGTATCCATATATTATGTGATTTGTGTATCTTGTAAAATGATACGATTTACAACAATGCATTTTGATGTATGGCATCTTTTTTCAGAGCTCCCATTTGTAGTTGATGAATGATAATGGTTTTCTGAAGATAGAGGTGAATCCAGGCTACAAACTCTTGAGCAGGAGGCCTGACAGCAAGAATTGTGTAACACAGTCTCAGATACATTATCTTGGTAGATTTCTTATTATTAAATGTCTCAGCTATTTGTATTGTTATTAGTAGTGTTGTTTAAATTTTCATTTTAGTGTCACTCAATGGAGGGGACTTTAAAAGCAATCTTTATCACCCATTCCCCCCCTAACCTATTTATTGTGACATACGGAAAATTCAACTAGACATTTGCCCTCCTGTCCAGGCCCACCTGCACCCAGCTAACTGCCTGGGGATCCGCATGTTTGCAGAGCAGCACAACCGCATGGAACTGATGAAGTGTGCCGACAAACACTCCTGCGATAACTTCTTAGACGTTATACAACACGACGAGTTCCTACAGGTGAGACTGTAAAGGTTTGTGTGTGGGGGGGGGGAGGGGGGTATAAACAGTGGAGCCCATCCCTCTCCTTCCACTGCCTCCCAGACATAAGTCAGGTACTCATTTTACACCAGTGTGGATGAGGAAAGTTGTGCAAAGTGTATTTTCCAAGGGCGCAATGTCTAGCCAGGACGGCAAGTAATCAAACCCGTGGCCTCTCAATCTCCTGTCTACTTGCCTTAGTCACTGTGGATGTGTCATTCATTGACAGAAGAGCTGGTCTGATGAAAGTCTTGTTGTCTTGTTTTGTTGTTCCTCCCACAGGTGAGTGCGAGCCACCTGACAGCCATGATCAGCTCCTCAGACCTGAATTTAGACGCGGAGGAACAGGTGTAGTAGTATGGGTAAGCGGGTGAAGTCTGCCATCTCTGATTTCCTTGTGTTTATCCCCCAGGTGAGTGCGAGTCACCTGACAGCCATGATCAGCTCCTCAGACCTGAATGTGGACGCAGAGGAGCAGGTGTATGAGGCCGTCATGAAGTGGGTGAAACACGACATTGCCACGAGGAAACAGCACGTCTCTGATATCTTCAGGTACTTACTTCATCATTATCATCTATCGGCCCTTGTTGGGGCCAGGATAAGGCAGCGTATAACTGCACTCCAGTACTTACTGTACATACTTACTTACTCAGGGCACAAAACACTTCTTTCTGCATGCCTGCATGGATCTGATTCTGAATCTCATTTCTTCATTTTCTTCCTGCCGTAACGTTATGTAGCAAATGGCAGGACAGACTTGGAGTTGAATGAATGAATGAATGAATGAATGAATGAATGAATGAATGAATGAATGAACGAACAGTTGGTATTAGTCTCTTTAAATACCGGTAAGCACTCATCTTATCTAGGTAGGTTGTAGAACGAATATGTTGTACTAGTTAACATATATATATATATATATATATATATATATATATATTA